CGGGAACGCTCGTAGGTTTATTCTGAAGGTTTAACAATGGAAACCATTTTGAAATATATTCTGTTCCGATATATTAACTACTTCTTAAAATAAAATTTAAATAAATATAGAAAACATTTTCTATAATTAAACTATAATAAAATTAAAAGAAATCTAAAAATAGATTAAAGTTGTTGTCCAATTTTCTCTCCAAACTCTTTGGCTCCTTTAGTCTTGAAAGACAGTTCTTGGCTATCATTCACAATGTAGGTGTCCAATTTGGATTTAAGAAAACCAACAAAAGTCTTAACTGGGAAGATGGCAGTTTCAGCTCCTGAGTTATGGCAAGTGACAAGGCATACAAATTGTTTTTTGGTGAACTTATCAGCAATGCACTTCTTTGCAGTCCAGTCTGCCCAGTTATAAAGCATCACAGTTCTGTCGATGAAATTCTTGAGATCACCTGGAATTGATTGCCATTGAACAGGATATGCAAAAACAACAAGGTCGGCTTCAATGAGTTCCTTCATTGTTGCAAAGCAAAGATCGTCTTGTGAACACCAAATGTCTTCATGTCGAGCACAACCAGCACAACCTCTCATCAACTCAGTTGCGACATTAATCATGTGGACATCAACCTCTTGCTTTGTTTTGAGACCTTCGACGAATGAATTCGCAAGATTGATGGAGACTCCATTTGGAACTCTACTACCAACAAGAACGAGAGCTTTCAAGACCGTTTGATGTGACCGATTGAATTACGCGTTTTAAATATGGATTGCCACGTGAAATGTCCCAATGTAACCTTTTTGATTATGGTCATTTTTTGGAGGATCTTTTTAGAAAAGTTGCAGATTTCTTCTAAAAAAGTCCAAACTATGGGAAGACGTATTTAGAATCGGTGTTTCAAGAAAAGGTAAACTTTAATATTATTTAAAGGTGTTGGTTTATTACATATTTCCATATAAAATGGCGAATGGTTGTTGTTTTGTTTTTTTTTATGTATCAGTTCATTTTAAAACAATAAACATTAAAAAATAAAAAATAAGACTGCTAAGAATGGCTCAATATGTTTTTTCAAAATTGGTATTAAAATATATCATTATTTTTTATCACTATTTTTTACAATCCACCAAACAATGTTTTTTAAATGGGTATTGTAATGGCATATCATTAAACTCAAGCTGTAATTATGTCATAAGAAAAGTGATTTCATATTAACAAATAAAAACATTTATATTCAAAAATAACAAATTTTAAAAAAACAAAGAGATTTTCGAGCTATGAATATTGATTAGATATTCATCATCAATTAACCAGATCTGTTTTATTAATTATAAGATATATATTATTTTTGATTTAAATTATTAAACGGAACTGAATCATGAAAACTATATATTTAGTTACTACAAATAATTAACCAACCATTTTCTATTTTTAGTTATTAGTAGTTAAAACATTCATTTTGATAATTCGAAGAACTTACTTAAATCCATGAGTGATCGTTACAAACTTCTTATTTCATTTAGATGATACTCTTTAATGTTCTTACTCTTTCTTTTGTCTGTGTCAATGCTTTTTTAATGAAAGACAATGTAAAACTTTCGGGAACTAAAAACTCAATCGAAAATACGGAATTCATGTCGATGCCCAATTATACCTCAATCGCATTAGAAATTCAGACCCTTCTTCTTAAACAAAAAAAGACTGTGTCAACCGCCGAGAGTTGCACATCTGGTAAAATTGCTGCTGCTCTCTCGTGCATTTCCAACGCGTCAAAAGTTTTCAAAGGTGGGATCGTTGCCTATTGCAACGAGGCAAAAGAGAACCTTCTGAAAGTTCCTCACCACATTATTGCCAATTACACAGAAGTTTCTGAGCAAACAATCAAAGAGATGTTAAAAGGTTCGATGAGTGCTTATCGTTCTGATTATGCGATAGCTTCGACTGGTTATGCTGAGCTTGACATAACCGCTCCAAAAGAGCGACAAGGTCTTATATATATTGGTGTATCAAGTAAAGACAAATTCTCAATAAAAGAGCTTCATGTCACTGGGGCTCGAGTAGATAACACAAACGAAGCAGTTACTGAAGCCCTCACATTATTTGTTGAGTTTTTGAAAGCTGATAATTAATTCAAATAGTGATCTTACATTGTTCTTTGACTCATTAAACAAAACAACTCAAAGTAGTACATCAATTATAAAGAATATGTCATTTTCTGACCGACTTCACAAGGAAGTTCTCAACAGCTCGCTCTTCGTTCAGTTTTTTGAGGCCGTCGACTGGGCGGACAAAGACCGCAGAGAAGTACTTAACAACGTCTTCCACGGTGACATTAGAGTTAACCTTGACAATCTCCTTTAAGAAGGCGATCATGTACAAAAAGAGGTTGTAATGCGAATTTGGCATCTTGTTCCTTACAAAGAACTTTTCGAACTCCTCTTGCTTCTCCGTTGAGTGTACAACCTGTTCGAATAGACACGAGGGGATCACCGAGTCCTTTAAATTCTTCATGAAGACGATCAAGAACTCGAGTGCCCGATGGAACTCCATATTTGGGTCAAATTCGATGTGTTTGTCCAAATGGTCTAATATGTATGAGTAGCTCGACGCAAAGCTTTTTGACGGGGATGTCGAGAGGAGATTCGGCTCGGCTAAGTGTGGGCGAACGAAGTCGCATAGCCTCCATATCTCCTTTGGGATGATGAGAGGAGCATAAGCTTGTGGTTGGGGGAGGAGATATCCATTTGGATGGAGATTCAGATCATCAATCGACTTCGTAAGACACGTCTGGTCAAGGTGGATTTTGAATGACAAAAAGTGTGTTCGGCCTCCTTTAATTTCGAGGATTAAGTTATAGTCAAACGCTCCTTTTTGGAATAACAAGACTGTATCTGTGAATTGAAACTTGAATCGAAAAGTGATGTTCTTATTCGAAACATCAGTCTTTTCTATTTCAAGTTTTTCAGGGAAAACCTCAAGCCAATCGGGAAAGATCCCCGTCTTCCCAATTTGGTAGTCCTTCAAACACACAGTCGACTTCGCTTTCCCATCATTTTTCAGTGGGAGAACCACTTTATTTGACACGTACGGATAGATCGTCAACTCAAACTCTTGCTTCTCCAAAATTACATTGGGCCTCACTATGCGAAGAAGTTGATTCTCCATCTCGATCAGCTCTTTCTCAACCTTCGCGTGCTTGTCTGGGATGATCTTTCGTGTGACAAACTCGAAACACCCCCTCACTGGTTTATGGTCACTCTCAAGTGCATTTGGTAACGCCGTGTACTCCACACAATTGATAACCTCAGACTCGCTTCGGAACAATATTCTATCACAAAACGCCGGTCTTCTCTTTTCCGAGTATTCTTGTGTGTTTGGGATGAATTTGTACGTCGGTTGGAACATGATCGGAGATTCCACAAAAGTGTTCACAATAGGCACTTTCAGTCTTTTTTGTTCAAGAAGTTGGTCCGTGAGTTCAAACGCTTCCATTCCCGCGCCATTACTAATTTTCTCTCTGATTGTAGCGTCTTCTTCATCTATTCTATAATTCAAATCGCCCATCCAAAAGATGATGTCATGGTCTACAATCCTTTTCATGGTATTTTCTCGTTCTGTTTCGATGAAAGGCACCAACTCGATGTTATTAAATATGTCTTGGAAGTTTTGATTTCTCTTTGGGATTTCCATTTGGTGGGCAGCCAAATGTGATCCAACAACACAAATAGTTTTATTTAACATCTTGAAACTATAAGCTATCCCCCCTTTATTTGCCATCCCCATCATTCCGACCGCTTCATATCCACTCGCTTCGTATTTGATGCGGTCTCGAATACTTTCACGACAAAATCCCATTAAGACGACACCACCTAATTGTAACACTGTCAACTGAACAAACTTTTCTTTAAACACCGTTTCAAACGATTTGTACACGTTTATCGCTAATTCAGTCGCCTTTAAGGTCATCGTGTTTCCCTTCAAAAATCCAGAGACACTCATGTCGATCTCTTCGATGGCAATAAATATCAAATCTATGTTTTTGTCTGAACCAGACATCACATAATCTAACGTCTCCTTCGAAATGATTTTCTCATTAACATTGTAAGTCACTAACATCGCTGTCATCTCACACTTCTCGCTGTATTCATCTATCCGAGATCGCATTTTCGCATAGCGCCAATTGGATGGGTCTAAAGAGTAACACTCGATCTCGTGTGGCGGAACATCCATTTTCCGTTTTTAAAGTTCCAGCGTTTTTCGATTGTATTGGATTTTACTAGTTTCTAATAGTTTCTTTTACCAAATATTTACAATTCAGTTCATTACATCAAATTTTTTTTCGTAATTATTTTAATGTTTATTATCAAAAATATATTATCATTTAATTAAAATCTTGTTTGTTATAGTTTCAACACAACTAGTATTTTATTATAATTTATATAATAAAATAATTTTTGATTACTTTATTGTTATTTTTTTTTAATTAAAACTTTTTTAATAAAAAGTTAACAAAATATTTTTAAAATAATAAAAGAAAAATTAGTTCATCAATAAAAATGTTATTAACATGTTATATATTTTTTAAAAATAATTTGATATGGAGCCTTATATTTTTGCTCACACTTTTGATCAGATTGTTCAAAAACTTGCAGATAAGTTCCAAGTTAAGGTATTAAATCAATTATCCTGTTATATCTAAATTTCAAATGAAATATAAACAACAATAATAATTCCGGATTTATTATTTCTTTAGACACAATGTTTCGATAAAAAAATGACATCTTATTATTAAGTATGAAATTTGTTCATTTGTTCGTTGTTGTTAAACGGACATAACAACAGCCGTTCTCATTATTTAATTTCGACGGTTAAAAAAAGCTAAAACGGATATAAAAAGAACAAAAATCAGCTTGGAAAATTAGTCCAAATGTCAATGTTTCAAACATGCTACTTTTCTATAACTTTTTGAACTAAAAGTTAAAAGTTAAGTCAAATTAACTCATTTCAAATGATTTCTATAGTATAATATGCTATTTCTTTTTAATTTTACTAAAAAAATATTATAATCATTTAATAAAGTTTAATATAAAAAATGTTACTATAATATGAAAAACGGGTTATTATAGTTATTAACATATTTCTGAGTTTTTTAAAAGCCATTTAAAAACACAGAGCCTTTCAAATTTTGACGAAACAAGTCCAAAAATACCAGATTCAACGATTTTAAAAGGGGTATGTGAAAAAACCAACTGATAGAACCATTATACTATAGTTTTCAAACCATTGACTTGTGGTTTACAAAATGGAACAATTCAACTTCCACTTGTGCAAACATTTTATATTAGCAAGAAAATTAGAAAACAGTGGTGAAAATACGCAAATATGTCGAATTAGACTCCGATAAAATCGCGATTATATCTGATGTTTTTCAAAATCAACAACCCATATAACAAATATTGGTAATTTGTAGTGGTTTGAATTCGTCGAAACCGAGTGAAATTAAACACAAATTAAACATTGAAACGGTGTTGGAGTTTATTTCTCCAATAAGCAGCTTTGAAAGTCCTCGGCATTTTTCTTTAAGAGAAGTGTGTTGTTTGCAACACCTATTTTCTTTGATAGAAAGTTGTTGATAGTATTTCCCCAATCGAAAATTTTGTCATTGGAGACTATGCAGACTTTGTTCTTGTATATTGCGGTAACCGTTTGCACAACTAAAGAACCATTGCGTCCCTTAGTAGAGACCACCTCGAACAAATACCCAAACTCTTGAAGTAAATCCATGAGTAGGTGAAGCGTCTCAGCAAACCTCCCAGTCTCCGACCGTCGTTTTGCTGTTTTAGAAGTGATTCCACGCTTTAAATCGTCTTTATATCTTTCTTCTAAACGCGACTCGACTAATTTGTTGACTTTGATTTTGTCGGAAGAGCCAAATTCAATTGACTCGATGCGGAAAAAATGCTGTGCTGTTGATGATTTTTTGATTGGTTTGAGGAGCTCGATTGTGCAGTGCTTATTAAGTAAATATAAGAAGACCGCCTGTTGTTCGGCTTGGTAGTTCCGAGTCTCTCTGTAGCTTTCGCGACTCATGTGTTTCAGAGTTCTGGTAATAAAAACATTTGGAGTGGATATTTTCGTCCATCTCACATCCCACTTTTCCTTCGAAATTCCGCGCTTTTATTTTTGAATTTCTATTGTTTTTTAGTCGTCATTTTTGGCGCTTTTAATGCATTGTAACCAACTTGTTCTTTACCAGAGTTTTGCTAATTAAAAACATTCAGGTTTTAATAATTTTCATATTTTCAGTGTGTAATTAGGCCGACTTTGCCATTTCCAAAACATAACTTATTTGTTTGATCAACGCTTAAATACACAACCATCGACTTTCCTTTGAACTATTACATGCGAGGATTACAAGAAACTTTTCGGGGTTTATTCATTTTTCAAATACAATGTTGGGCAAAAAGAATTGTAAATTCGATGCTCTTCTCTTTTCATCTTTTTGTAACCGTCATTTACACTCTAGCCTTTCTCTGTACATCTGCGTTGGATTTTTTTTATCCACCATATTTAACGAATCATTATACAATCAACCTCCTTCACCTTTAGAAAAATAATTTAGGCGAAACAAAAGTGCGTTTTTAAATATAGTCTTCAAATTGACCCAAATCGCGGTTCTTCTTTTTATTATGTATAAAACCACAACAATATTTTTCGGACAAGTATTTTGTTTTTTTTAATGTTAAAAACATTTTGGGAGTTTCCATATTTGTTGTCATTGAAAAGTTGCACAACAATCCATAAATAGACTGAAGGATCTGTTTTAATAATATTTTTGTCTTTTTTATTGACCAAATGTATTAGAAAATTTTTGCTAAATAAGGAAGATCAGTTTTTTGCTAATTGTATAAATACAAAATATGAATTTGTTGTTAAACATTATGATATATACCATGTAACTAAATCAATGTCAATAACATTTTAATTGTTAAAATACTTCGTTAATATTGTAGACACATTGTTTAATATTAACTTATTGTTTGATTTTTTAAAATGTATATTTAAGTATCTTGATGCAAAAATAACAAAAAAGAAAAAATAAGAAACAAAAGATGTTACATCAACTTACTATTATCAGCCAGACTTAATTTCATTGATTCATTGTTTATATTCAAAAATGCAGTTAATTGAGGTACAGTTACTTTCTTTGTTTGTGAGTCTTTTGACCAACAACCATAAAATAATTCGTACATTGTCAACTAGTGTTTATCAAGTAAAAATGTTTAATTTAATGAGTATTTAAATTAAAAATGGCAATTTAATTATTATTAAAAATAACATTGATGAAAACATTTTTTTCTCGATTTAATCAATAGATAACGTGATTTAATAATTATTGAAGCAAAACATAAAGTATCAATTCTTTCAAATGTAACAAAAAATAGTAACAAGCTCTCTCCTTTTCTTCTTTCAAGTTAAGTTTCAAAAAAAATTCCAGACCTTATTAAATAATTAATTATTATAATACACCATCTTAATTTTTAATAACATTTTCAAGTGCTATCTATAAGAATAGTGGATTATAAAATAAATTTTCAAACGTAAAAAACAGTTGGTTTCAATAATACTCTATTTTAAACCTGTTTCAATTTAGCTGTCACCTTGTTATTTATTTTTATTATTCATTTTTTATGAAATCTTTTTTAAATTAAACAAAAAATACAAAGGATATCAGTTGACTTGATCAATTTTAGTATTAATGTTATGTTGTATTTTGAATTACAATACAACAATGATAAAAATATTACTCAATGAAACTTAATTATACAGCTACATAAATTTCATGTAATCATGAAATTGAAACAAAAATATTATTTCAAACCAAACAATGAGAAAAAATGAAGTTTTAACTATAATATAAGAAGAATTATTTCAAAACCATTTTACATTTTTGCTCCCAATCCAAATTATTAAATGTAAAGCTAAAGACAACTGAGTAAAATGGCAAGAGCTGACGTTGTCACAAGAATAATCGGCGCGTAACAAAAGAGAAACACTTTTCCTTTATCTTCTTCTGGGGCTTTCTCAATTTTTAAAATTGGGCCATTAACTTGTCTAAACTGTTTTATTTCACAAGTCACATCTTTGTTCTCATCAAATTGAAGCTCCACGACTGCGCCAAGATTACCATCACTTTCGCTATTAGGAGCGGAAAAAATAGTCAGACATCCACTTTCATTATTGAGCCATTCATACCCGTTAGACTTAACTTCGTGACTTCGGATGACCAACTGCAAGTTATTCTCCTCCAAGAAGTCGATGACTGCGTCTGGTCCAAAATAGAAACCAATTCCTCTCTCACTTGGTTTGACTCCGTTTTGTTCCATTGGGTCGTTCCACAGATATTCCATGTAAAAAGTCCCCTTTTGTGGTTCGAGCCCCTTTGGTATTTCGTTGATCTTTGCAATATTTTTAATTGTTGTTGAAATACCACCATGAACCACAAACACGGTGTTGTTAATGATATGTGCAACGGGCATAGAAGAGAATACGTCATTAAAAAAGTCGTACGTCTCTCTGTCGTACTTCTGTATGACTTCGTCATAAAATCCGTATCTCTTATTGGCGTAATAAGTCTCGTGGTTTCCTCTTGATGCGTAAAGGTGTGTTGGATCTGAAAGTATAAAAGAGAAGAGAACCAAACATATCTCAACACCAAAAGGCCCTCTATCCACGTAATCTCCATTAAACAGAAAATGGTTCTTTTGTGATGGCATTCCCAGTGTATCAAAGATATTACACACATCAAAAAATTGCCCATGTGTATCTCCAACCACAATAACCTTCTCATCCGTTTCGATCGTGATATTCACGAGCTGGCTTGTAGTCATAAAGTGCCTTTTCACGTCTTCTAATATGCGAAGAACGTACCTTTTTGGTAAAGACACTTTGCCATCCCCGCATTTGTAATATTCAAACAGAGCAGTCGCAAAGACTTGGTCAACTGCTTTGTCGAGATTTGGACCTTTGTACTCACTGTCAAGCTTTACTTCCTTCCAATGACCCTCAAGCCTCGGCTTTGTATTTGCCTTCAAACATATCAACAGAGAAAGACACATACTCAGCAATACAACAAGATTTGAAATTACTGTGTTAAATGTGAAACCTCGTGGAGACACAATAATAATATAAAAAGTGCTTGTGCTCAGCATGAGTAAAACAACGATCAGTGATGTTGTTCTTTGGAATGCCATCTGAGCAAGTTACAACCACATTTCAAGTTTTTTTAATAAAAAAACATTTTTAATAATTTAATTATAAATTAATAATTTCGTTATTTAATATAATAGTAAAAACTATGATTTGAAAGCAATGAGTAATAAAACGGTTAAAACACCGAATTCCAAGTGTAGAGGAGTACAAAGCTTATGACAACGATTAGACAAAACGAACTTAATAATTTAATAATCAGGGTCGGTTATGAGTTTAGTAATAAGATTGTACACATCAGAGAACGACATGATATCGCCCTTTTCAAATTTGAAAACAACAGTAGTCATCTCTCCAAACCCAAATGATGTGTCGTCGATATCTTTCTCCTTGACTGTGACCTCGAAGAGGACATTAGTATCCGACACGTCCATGTATTTGTACTCACACTCAAAGTCTCCCTTCTCATTCTCTTTCTTAACTATCCCAAGCTCGTTGCACGCCTTCACCATCTTCTCCTTCGCCATCTGCGCTGAGCAATACAACTCTACCTCTTCGGATGTTTGCACATCATGGTTCCCGACAAGTCCCCACTCCGCTTGTTTTGGCATCGAGAACATCAGTGGTGATCGTAAACTTGCCGACATGCCAATATCCTCGTTCGCAATTTGAATGGGAACAACACCAAGTCCGCCCTTCGGCGTTTTCACGTGCTGGATGCTCGCTCGTTGTTTCTTCGAATTCGACAATTCGGTGAAAGCGGGCGAGAATGATTGTGTCGATGGAGATGACCCCGGGACGGCAAAAATCGTGTTTTTGAGGCTTTGTGGGCCGGGGCTACTCCGTGAAAAAGTGAATGGATCCTCCTCGCTGTTTTTCCTGTGTTGTTCCAAAAGTCTGTAAAATGCACGAATTGTGTTTGGTTCCTTTTTCGTGAGACTTTCTCGAATCTCGACGATGTGTACGTTATTCAATAAATAACACAGTGTCGTTAAGATGTTGGGATCGACTTTTGTTATTGGTTCTCCCGCTTCGTCGACGATTGGTGGAATTTCATAGGTCTCTGCTTTAAACGACTTGAAAAATGTCGATTGTCTGATCTCAGGAATAGTTATTCTTTTCGTTGGGTCAATTGTCATAAGGCGACTGATCAACTCTCTTAAAGAGTCGGGGACAACGGGCTCGGAGGGAAACTCAAATACCCCCTTTTGGACTTTTGCAAGAATCTCGTCAAGCGTGTCACCATCGAACGGCATCAGACCAAACGCCATCACATATAACACAACACCACAAGACCATATATCGGCAATACACCCGTCATATGTCTTTTTCATAGAAACCTCTGGGGCGGCGTAATGTGGGGACCCACACCCTTCTCGCAATTTGTTATATCCATTGTACGCGGACATCCCGAAGTCTGCGATTTTTAAAATCTTCTTATCTTTGCTTAACAACATATTTTCAGGCTTGAGATCACAATGACTGGACGTGAGGAGATGTTGAAATGTGCGATTTAAAGAAAAACAAACCAAATCTGTCTTGAGTGGAAGTGCTCGACGGCATTAATAATTTGGTTGAAAAAGTTGAAAACCTCGTCTACAGGAAGGTAGCCCTTGTCGGCTATGTAATCGAAGAGTTCCCCGCCTTCCATCAGCTCCATAACCAAAAAGAGATATTTTGAGGTTTCATAGACGGTGTAGAGTTTCATCACATTTTGGTGGTTCACTATTTTTAAAAACGCGATTTCACGCTCGATCTAATGTGTTATTTCTGATGGGAGAAAGGGTTATAACTGCAAACTTTGCGTTTCATTTCGGGGTGTTGTGTGACCGTTGACTTGTCGATGATTTTGATTGCTACTTTGACACCTGTTGTTTCGTGGAATGCAAGATAACACTTTCCACAAACACCCTCGCCTAGCTTTTTGCCGATGATAAATTGCCCTACACGATAACACTGTGCCATGTAACTCTTCCCTTTTCTTAGATCAAAGTTTCTATTATTTTCTTTTTACAGTTGGGGTTCTTTTTGTCTTCTTTTTTCACAACACCTCCTATTGTAGAGCATCTTCATCACCCCAAAAATGTGGCATTTAATTCAAAGTGTTAACTTTATTTCGTTTGATTAGTATTTATTATAACGAATATTAGCTGTGTTGGTTTGTGGAAGATTGTGGGACTTTTCGTTTGTTCTATTTTATCTATTTAAGTACGCCATTTATGGTTTGCTTTTCCTCACAAATGCACGTTTGGGAATCAATTCTTCACAGTACAAAACCCTTTACCTTAGTATAGTTAGTTATAACTTTATTTACAATATAAATGCCATATTCTTTGATTGATTCTATAAATTGATAATATTTTATTTATATAATCAATAATTAAAATAAATTATAAAAATAAATTAGTGATAAAAAACTATTGTTAATTCAATTATTATTATTTTATTAATTATAATATTTTATAGTAATTATCTGGCTTTTTATGAGGAGATATAGTATATATGTTTATATAAAATAAAAAGATAATAACTAAATAATTTATTATATTCGCCAACTTTTTTGTTGGTCTTATAAAATTTTACTCAACCAAATTGAAACCAGTTACACTATGAATTGGGTTTTTAAAACATTATAAATGTTACAAAGTTGTTTTGATCCGACCTATCAATTACCGCAATTCTACCTATATATTTTTGTCTTGTTTCATTTTTAGAGCACCTTCACTGTCTAATCTCTGACTTGAAAAGGTTTAGTTACTTAAATTATCATAATTACAGCGTAGAAGTCATAATATCGTTCAAATGTTAAACATGTCGAATAATAATGTTCACTACACTCACTTGCAAAATGTTAAGAGTTTTCTAACAGCTTTTGCTTTGACGTCTTTTGTAATTCAATTTGAATACAACAATTAAGTTGTTGATTATTCTGTTGTCTTAGTTTTATGAAATGTGTTTTGCCATTAGCTAAATACTTATTAAAGACACTCATCGACATTAAATATTGTAATTAATGTTGTTACAAAATAAAGAACCAATAATTGAAAACCAATAATTAAAATGAAATAAAAATTTACACATTTATAGTATCACATTACAATGAAAATACCTAAGAATCTTATAATTAGTTTAATTACAACACCCTTTTGACCCTTTCAAGTTATTTAACCGGAGTGTGGCGGAATGTAAAGACGTCTCTTGCGTTGTATTTTTATCATATCTGATCATTTCCTCGACCATTTTATCAAACACGGAATTAACGTTGTTGTTATCAAAAGCAGTGCATTCGAAATACTTTACAATCCCCAACCTAACACAGAGTTCGTCAACCTCATACCTTTCAATTGTAGAGTTCTTTTTTAAATCCTTTTTGTTTCCTACGAGGAAGATAACTGGTTTCTTAGTTGTAGTCTTTTCTTTAGCTTCCTCAAACCAGATCCCAATTTTGTCGAATGAATTTCTATTCTCCAAATCAAATGTAAGAATCAACCCATTGCAATTTCTGTAGTATGAAGAGACTAACCCACGAAACCGGTCTTGTCCTCCACAATCCCACAATTGAAGACACACTTTCTCAGTCCCAGCCTGAATCTCCTTGACCATTAAATCCATCCCTAATGTACTTTTGTAGTCCAGCTCAATGTCACCTTTGCAATATTGTCGGACTATCGTCGATTTGCCAACACCACTCTCTCCGATTATCAAGACTTTGTACCATTTGCTCGACATATGTTCACTTGTCATTGTGGTAAATTCAGTCTTTTGTTTGGTTTTTGAAGCAAAAATGGTTAGTCATCATTGTACTTTTTTCTGTTTTTGACATTTTCACTTGTCTAAATTTGAGGTTTTTTTGCAAGACTTGTTTACTCAAGAACAAGTACTTTCTCTGTATCGTGTTTTCTATTTCCCTTTTAATTGATTTTTTCTTTATCAAAAGATACAATCCATCGTCGAACATTTCAGGATGTCATTCTGATATACAAACAATATATAAAACTCTTCAATTATTTTCAAACATCAAATTTATTATCTTGGCGGTTAAAAAACCGAATGAAAAATAGAACTGTTTTTGTCTTCAAATTGAAGATGAAATAATCAGGTTTTGACAAGTCAATTTGTTTTTAGTTTAAAAAGACAGTTAATAACAAAATCAAAATGCAGAAAGAAAACAAATCATTGTTTATATTGTATTTAAACCTTTGTTAACTTAAGTATTACCATAACATTTCTAATGTTTAAACTTCAAATTATAAATGTTGTTGAAAGTACTTTCCACAACTTGTTCATCTTTATACAACCTATTTCATCTTATTTTATTGAATAAAACATATAAAAACTACATCTAATTTTAAACAAAATATCAATCAATAAAACTGCATAATACATTCACCCATCAATCAACGCCTGATACTTCTCAATCGTCTGATCTATTTTCACATCCACTGCAACCCCGCCTTCGACCTGGAAATATTGTAACACACTCGACTCATTAGAATTAAAAGTATATCCATTCGCCTTATCAACCAAAGCAACAGCAAGCGCCAAGTCGTCTTTATCCTCCACAGCAAACGGGACGGGCCTTATGAGTGCGTAGTCGTCGACAACCTCCGCCAACTTTTCGCTCAGCTTCTTTAGTCGATCTGGAAGGTCAAAGCTCTCGTCCTTCAAATTTCCGTTAATCAAGTCATCCAACTTTGTTTTGAAACCGTAGTTCCCAATTAAGTCTGCCTTACTCAGAAATGTTACAAACGGAAGTTCAAAGTTCATATTACAAGCAAGTGTTTGGAGCATAGCGGCAATGTAAATCGACGGGTCGCCAATATGCACCGAATCTATTAGATGCACTGCTGTCAACTGAAATTTCATTTTGAGCATTTTGTGAAGAATCCGCGGCAACACCTCGTGTGTCGAAAAGAGTTCTGTTTGTCCAGGACAGTCAATGAGCAAGTAAGTTGCCTTCTTCTCGGCTATCTTGTCCAACATCCAGTCGACGTTTGACTCTAAATACTCAAGACAATACAACATCCCGCCGTTTGGCCCAAGTGCTGTGGTTGTCATCGCTTCGTCCAAAGAGAGGAGTGACGGTAATGAAACACAATCGGTGTACTCAGACGGCTCATTGGCAGGATCCAAATTTACGATGAGTGGTGTCCTTCCCATGAGAGATAAAAATGAAAACATCCCCTTCACAAATGTCGTCTTGCCACACCCGGGTGCGCCAGTGATAACTTGGCCGTAGCACGTCGTCTGCATTGGCTGTGTTGAATGCTTTTTATAGTTCTTGAGTTGGTTCTAATTATAATAAAGATATAACAATAAATAGTTTATTTATTAATTTAAATATAGTTCATTTTATTGTATTTTAACCATACTATACGATATGGTATAGTTAATTGATGATATAGTTTGTTTTATAGTAAAAACAATTATAAAAAGGTAGAGTACAAATAAATTAATGGGATGGCTTTCTGATCCAATATTGCAGCGTTGAGGCCGATAGTCCTGCAAATAAAGTGGGTAAAGAAGTCTGCAAAAACCGAGTTGCCTTTGTTAGACCCATTTCTTTTGCTTTTCTTATTGCGATTTGTCTTTCATAATCGTTCCAGTGGTGTTTCTTCTTTGGTAAATTGACTTTTTCCAAGCATGGCTTTGTTAATGAATATATCAATTTGATGTCTCTCTCCGATTGAAGAGATGGGGCTGGAGACTCAGTAACAACAGAACACTCTGGTGAGGGGTTGTCAACCACAGAATAAGTAGATGAGTCGGCAACAACAAAAGCAGATAGCGCCTCTGCTGAGTACATATGATTGGGTCTGATGTAGGTTTGTTCCATTGAGAGTAACATATACAGTCTTTAACTTTTTTTATATAAGAAATTTGTAAATGAACATTCATAATGAAAAGTTGGAAGTCCAATATTAAACGATTTCTGTATGAAAACCACAAAGACTTTTCTAAGATTTTTCTATGAAGAGAAACACATTCCGCAGAGGGGGTGTTTTGACTTCCAGCTAATAACGTTGTGTTTGGAATTGAGAAAAATTGTCGGAATTTCTTTAATCTGTTGTCTCTGTTTTTATGTTGTGTGATTTCTTAAATTAACCAAAAGATTCACAAATGAGGTTTTTTTCGAAAGAAACTGGAAAAGGTCTGCAGACATTTCGTCAAAAGTGAAAATTCTTTTTGAAGTTGTTAGAAAAATACTGTAGTTTTTATTATTATTTAAAGAATTGAAAACAACTAAAAATAGCCAACGAAGGTAGTGCATTCTTCTGCCTTCTAATTTTTTATTTAAAAAAGTATAACAAAAATATAATTTAAT